TGTACAGGTTTCTATCGAACGCCATTACAGTTTGGCTCCAACCACGTGTGCAAAAGTAAAGCGCTTTGAAAGAAAATAGAGGGCTTCTGCCTTTTCTTTTCGTGATTGTTGTCGTTCAGGGTAATCATACAGTTGCAGGGGGTGGGTGCGTTTGGTGTGCTGAGTTTTCTGTTGAGCTTCATGCAAGTCATGCTAAGGAAGCCCTCCACCCCCCCTCCCCAAATAAAATAAAATGTTTAAAAAAATAAAAAGAAGGAAAAGAAATCCTCTACGGTCAGTTACCATTTGGCCGTAGAAAAAGCTACGTCCGTCCTAGCACAAGGCCTGGGCCACTCGGACTCGTCCGGCAAACCTGCATGGCGTGAATTTACTCTGTCCGAGGGTGAGGAGGGGCTGCAGGTCCACCCAGATGCTTAATAGCCACCAGTGTCCTCGGCCAAGCCGCCTGGTCAAGTCACTCTCACAGCCTCTGTCGGCATATACTTAGCAATGACAGGGCTTTCTTTGCAAAGATCTGTATGTAAAGAATACAATTAACACTTGAGCGTCTCTTCTTGGCTTTCCCATCCCGCTTGGTACTTAGTTTTTAAGGAAGGAAGAGGAGAAACAGAAAGCCGCATGCAGAGGCAGGCAGGTCCTTCTCCAGCTGGCTTGGCTTCCCATGCAGTGAGCCAGCCTAGCGCCTCTTTCTCTCCCTCCTGTGGGGACGGGCGGAGCCCCTCATCTTCTCCTACTCTGCATGGACTCCAACATCTGCATGGCTTATGGCTCGGAATTAGCCTGAGAAAAGCAAGTCCTTGGCGGCGCTCATGACTCCTTGAGAGTGGGTGGGGGCCTGGTGGATGCAGGTGGGTGGGGGGCACTTCACCCTCAGCACCTCCCAAAGATGCTAGCACCTCAGCCTCTATGGGATGGGGGATGGGATCACCTGGACAGTGGCCGCCTCTGGGTTCCCTAGCCACTAGTGGGAGGGGGCTTCTTATGTCCCACCCTGCCTGGATTTCTAGAAGAACCATCTAGACTCTGCTGTCTACCATCAGTTTGGGGCCACACCGATTGACCCAGCATTCAAGATGAAGGAAGCAGGAGGCCCATGAGACTTACTGGGTAGGGCACAGCCACTGAGAACAGTCTAACTGGCTTCTCTCTCACTTCCCAGGGCTGCTCCTGCTCCTGGGCATTCTAGAGCCTTCACCTGGGAAAGAGCCGATTGCAAAGGGAAGCATCAGGCCCATCCATGGAAGGCACCAAGGATGGGGCCCTCCCCCAGGCTGGCAGCCCTCTGCCATGCAGCACCATGCGGGCAGTGGTGCCCTACACCGGGGTCGGAGGGACCTCCGGGCAGGGCAAAGAAGCAGGGACTAGCCCGGGCCGGGTAGCCATGACTAAGCACCGGTGACCAGAAGGCCCTTCCCTTAGTGTAGTCTGCCTCTCCTCTTCTGGGTTTGCCCTTGACTTTGAACTCTGCATTTTCTCTTCATGCTTGGTTTAACCACTTCAGTGCTGGAGCAGTTGTGAATGGCCACGGGCTACACCAACTGTTGCTCTCAGAAGCCCAACTCTCCGTCTGACCCAACCCGCTCACCCCGGTCAGCATGCACCCGTGTGAGCGTGTGAGGCGCCCCAAGACATGCACGAGCTGCCCAGCCAGTCTGCTGCATCGATAAGGCGTCTTCTGCCTCCAAGGCCCGGGCCAGTGCCTGGAGCCTAGAGCTAGGGTGCTCTGGGGCTCCACCCCAAGCCTCTCCCCAGTCCATGCTCAAGCTCTGGGGGAAGCCTTTCTCTCCAGCGTGGCCAGCCTAAGTTCTGACTGCAGGGCCTGAGCAGAGGCCATCAGGCTCAGCCTTCACCAACAGCAAGGGGGCGCTGACAATGGCACTGGGGACCGAAGGGGCTGCAGAGAGTCCTGCTTGGTCATTCCAGGCAAGTTCTCTCTGCCTCTAGCAATATTCTGACTGGCACACATCTTACCTCCGCAAGGACAATGGCCTTGCCCAAGCCCTGGAGCCACCTCACTCTTCATGCCTCCCCTCCCACTGGCCTGTGGATTCACTTTAAAGGATGCCTCTTCCAGAACTTGGATCTTGGATATCTATGCTTACAGGGTCCTGGCCCAGCCAGGTCCATCCCACTGCCCTTTACCAAGGCAGAGGAGGCCTTACCTCCTAGACCCACCCTGCCATCTGCTGGAGCAGCCTCGGGGAGTCGAGGTTCCACCTGTGCTCCCAGGAATCCCCTACTTTGGGGTCATGGCCCACAGTCAGCCAGCCTGTCCCAAGCCCCTTCCTATGCCTTAGCTCCAAACCAATCCTCAACTGCCTGGAACTCAGGTTCTCTGCCAGCCTGACATTCCATCTAGGGGAAAGGGACTCACGCCTCCAGGGACCGACCCTGGGGATCCCGCCATCCTTGCCCCCCTCGGTGTGCCTGCCTGCCCCTCAGCGCCCCTCGCCCGCCACCCTGCCCACCCATCTGCAGGAGCGCGAGGTGGCCCAGCCGATGCACAGTGCTCCAGCTTCCTCTACATACCCTTTCTCACTCCTCCACCAGGTGGGCACGCGTACTCCCCGGTTGATAAGAGGAAGCAGGGTCCGTATCTCTCGCGGGTGCCCGAGCGCGTAAAGGGCAGGCCCTCATCTGGAGTGAGGGCCTGGTCTATGTGGGGGCAGTCTTCGTTCGCCAGCGCGGCCTTCGCCACCTCCCCATTCAGTTTGGAATCTTCAAACATATAAGCAGAAGCTATTGAGACACTGAAAACTGTTTAGCGGAGGGGGGAGAGGCCGGAGGTGGGGCATTGGCAAAGGGCAGCCCATCCCTGAGGGTAAAGGAGCAGGCGGGCCGTGGAGGAGGGATGAGACTGGTGGGGGCCTCGGCTCCCTCAGGCAGCCTGCAGGTTGCCCGCAGAGCTGAGAGGGAGGGACTCCTGGGTTTGCTCAAAGTTTGCAAAAAGATGAGTTGGTGATGGGTCCAGCAGGCATGGTGCTGGGTGCCAGGCCCAGGGCCCAAGGCAGGGCCGATGAGACAGGATGGTGTGGATGCGGTCATGGGGAGGGGGCCAGGCACAGAGCTCGGGGAGAAGACAGACAGACACGCAGAAACACTCCAGCCCAGAGAGTGGCCCTTGGGGCCCCTCTGCAGTGACCAGAGCTGGGCAGCCACCCGTCCACACCCAGACAGCCACTCAGGCTTCCCTGGCCCGATCCAGTCCCACCTGCCCAACTCACTCCATTCTACATTTGGGTCCCATCTAATCACCTGGACCCTGCTGTCCCCTGCACACCTGTCTGAGCTTTCAGCCCGCCCCCACCCCACACAGACCAGCCTGCTCACTCCCTACTGCCGTGCTCTGTACAGACCAGGCGTGGTCACGCAGTCTCCATCCCGATATAGGCCCACTATGGTCACTCTGTACGCCCTGTCCCCTGTACATTCACCTCTGCTCGCCCTGTCCCCGGTCACTCATTCTCCTCTGCCCCCTTATAGACCCACTCTGGTCACTCTGTATGCCCTGTCCCCTGTACATTCACCCTGCTCCTGGTCACTCATCCTCCTCTGTCCCCTTACAGTCCCACTCTGGTCACTCTGTACCCCCTGTCTCCTGTACATTCACCTCTGCCCACCCTGCCCCTGGTCACTCATCCTCCTTTGTCCCCTTACAGACCCATTCTGGTCACTCTGTATACCTCATCCTCTGCAAGACTAGGCCTGGTCACCCAGTCTCCACCGTCCCCATGACAGGCCCAGTTGGGTCACTCTATATACCCCCTGCTTCATACAGACCAGGCCTGGTCACAATCTCTTCTGCTCCCACACTGGCCCACTCTGGCCACTCTGCCCCCTGTACACTCACCTCTGCATGCCCCGTCCCCTGGCCACTGTGTCCCCACACAGTCCCAGTCTGCTCAGTCGGTAGGCCCTGCCTTACATAGACTAGGCCTGACCACACAATTGGTCCGCACACATCCAGCCGCTGCCTCCACCCCGTGCGGCCCCAGCAGCCTGGTTGCTTCGCAGGCACGACGGGAGTATGCATGAGGCTGGGACAGTGGACATGGACTCCGGAAGGCTCCCCTTCCTCTGTCTCCTCTCGTCAGTGTCCCCGGCAAAGCAGAGCGATGGATGCGTGGAAGACGACAGCAGTGATGGTGGGGATCTGAGTCGGCCTCTGTGGTAGCCTCAGAAGCAACCTGGGAGGAGGTTTGGGGGCACAGGAGATGGGGACAAAGGGTGGCAGAGCAAGGAGCACTGTCTTTCCCAGTTCTAGGGACAGAGCGGTGGTGGCCTCCGGGGCTGGCGGAGGCAGCTCTGGCCAGCCTCCGCCCCACCCCA